TTGGGTATTTGGAGTCAACCGCGTTGTTTCTCCTTCGTCTCTGTCCCTTCTCCCCCCCTCCCCGTGATAAACACGCGGGTTGGCGTCAAAGCACGCGCTCAGCACCAACACCGCTACCGCCACCAGCGGTAACGTCATTACTTTCTTCTCGCACTCATAAGTTGACCCGTGTGTTTTTTATTATTATTTGGGCTGCACTTCCGTGCTTTTTTATTATTCTTTTTTTTCTTTTATTTCTGCGTCCCTTCCCTTTCGCCCCTGCGCTCTGCATGCGTGTGGGCGGCGTGGGCGGCCAGGCAATGAGGTCGCTGCCGCACGACCACGCGCATTCACCTCCTTTTTTGGTTATTGTTTTTGTTTTTTTCCTCCGCGGGAACATTTTTCTGCCGTTGCCACCAAGCACGGGGCCAAGCCACAGTCAGCTAGCAGGAAGTAGAAGGAAGGAAAAAGTTACGGGGACGCACGGAGTGTTGTTGTGTAGGCATGTCGCGGCTGTTGAAGCACTACGGCGCCTGCAAGACGGCATTCTTCTGCTGCGATATTCAGCAGAAGTTGGTGGGACACGTGACAAACCTCGACAACTGTGTTTTGGTTTCCAACCGCTTCGCTGCATTCCACACCATCCTGGGCACCTCGCAGAGCCTGTACGTTGTGGCAGAGCAGTACCCGAAGGGCCTGGGGCCGACGGCTGCAGGCATCAAACTTCCCCCGGACGCACACGTCTTCTCCAAGCTGCAGAGCTCCATGTTGGTGCCGGATGTGATGGCCATGATTAATGTGCCGGAGGTGGAGCAGATTGTACTTTGGGGTTGCGAGACGCACGTGTGTGTGCTGCATACCGCCGCGGCTCTGCTGGACCTGAAAAAGAAGGTCGCCGTTGCGCTGGATGGCTGCGGAAGCCGGAGGGATGGGGAACACGCCGCTGCTGTTGAGTGGATGCGGTCGTGGTCACGCGATGGGTGCCAAGTGTCCACGTCAGAGTCCATCCTGATGCAGCTGACGCAGGGCGCGGCGGACCCCCTGTTCAAGCCCGTCATGGCGCTCCTGAAGCAGAACCATTCGATGCCTTTCTGAGAGCAGAGAAGAGATTATTATATTTTTTTTTGTTGTTGTTTTTCTTTTTTTTTTTCGTTTCCATGTGAGCTGATCAGTGCGTGTAATATGTCTGCACCGAATACGAACCTGTCTTTACCTTCTTTCCTTGCAGACTACAAGTGTTTATCGATGTAAGTTGCCGCCTGTTTCTTAGTCCTGCATGTCTCTGCGTGCAGGTGCTCTGACTGTCAACATGGGGGCAAATGTCTAATGATGGTGTTGAGGAGGGAGGAGGGAAGGGGGGGGGGCATAATGCGTGCCGCCGTCTTCCCTTTCGCCTCTGCGCTCTGCATGCGTGTGTGCGGCGTGGGCGGCCAGGCAGTGAGGTCGCTGCCGCACGACCACGCGCATTCACCTCCTTTTTTGGTTATTGTTTTTGTTTTTTTTCCTCCGCGGGAACATTTTTCTGCCGTTGCCACCAAGCACGGGGGCCAAGCCACAGTCAGCCAGGAGGAAGTAGAAGGAAACGCCGCCGGGTGCCAAGAGACGAGCATACAAAAAAGTCTTTGTGCGCCAGAAGGAAGTTGGAGGGAGATAAATAACACCAGACGTGCCGGGTGGGGTACGGCATTTTTCTCGTCTCTCCGTGTGCGCTTACGTGTGTGTGTGTGAATGTTCACACGTTTCTTAGCATCTTTGCGGCAGATCAACGCCGTTGGGGCGGCGCGGCACGCGGCTTTTTTCACCTCGTGGCGGCAGGTCAGCCGTGAGACGGGAAAACGGCCGCCCTCGCGATGCCCCTCGCAACAGAGGCAACATCGTGTCGCGAGCGCGGCGATATTGTCCGACGTCCTGGCGAAGGAGACGAAGAGTGTGCTGACGCGTGCCGTTGCTCCGCCTCCGCCGGCGCTGTCGTCCCCGTTGGCGCCTTCACGAGGAACGCGAGGACGACGTCCGAGAAACTCGCGTGGTGAAATCGAAACCGCCGGCAGCGCCGTGGAGGGGAAAAAGGAACAGGCGGGCAGAGAAGCCATGGTGCCCGGGCACAATGAGCAGGCGGCATTGCAGGGCATGAAGCCGAAGAAGACGTTGACAGGGGTGAAGAAGAAACAGAGGAAGGCGGCAGAAGGGGTTCAGCAGCTGAACATCACGCCTGTGGCCTCCGGCATAGATATGCGCATCGAGACTAAAAAGGCGAAAGGAGTAGCCGTTGTTGCTGGAGAGGATGAGGTGGCTGTGGACAAGGAGAGCGAGCAGTTTATGCGACTTTTGGTGGATGAGACGACGCGGCGGCAACAACAGCGGGGCGGGGTGGCCCCCGACCGCCAGGAGCACGATACCAACCTCTGTGACGAGGAGGAGTACCTTGCGCAGCTGGAAGGGGTGCGCCGCATCCACGCGGTCAAAGCTGCACCCGAGGAGGCAACTGCAGGGGATAAGGCTACCGCGTCACTTTTGGAGGATGCGGCGGAGGACGACGATGCCGCCAACTGCGTCGACGAGCTCAGCGGGGAGCAACGCCGTGCGGTGGAGTTGGCGCTGCAGCGGCGCAACTTATTTGTCACGGGTGGCGCTGGGACAGGCAAATCGCTGGTTATCCGTGAGATTGTGCGGCGGATGCGCCAAGACGGCAGCCGTTCGGTGTTTGTTACGGCCACAACAGGGGTGGCGGCGCTGAATGTGCGTGGGTCGACCATTAATAGCTTCGCTGGCGTGAAGTTTGGCGCCGGTGCGGCGCAGGATCTGTTGAAGTGGGTACGCCGCAACCGCCGCGCCGCGGGGAGGTGGAAGTACTGCCAGACCCTCATCATTGACGAAATCTCCATGATGGATCCCGAGCTGCTAGACAAGTTAGACTTCATTGCCCGCGCGATGCGCCGCCGTGTGGACGAGCCGTTTGGCGGAATTCACATCATTCTTTGCGGAGACTTCCTGCAGCTCCCACCCATTCCGCCCCGCCACGGCCAGTGGTCTCAATCCCAGTGGCAGGGGGGAGACGCGACGGCGAGGAATAGGGCTGACGCTGGTGAGGGGGAGGAGGCGGAAGCGGTGTTGCCGGTGCAGCCCACGAAGCGGTACTGTTTTGAAGGGGAGGCGTGGAGGGGGCTGGGGCTGACGACAGTGGTGCTGCGGCAGAAGTTCCGTCAGAACGAGGATGCCAACTTCCAGCGCGTTCTCGACGACGTGCGCCTCGGGGTGCTCTCGGCGGAGACGCACGAGATGCTCATGTCCCGCGCTGTCACAGAAACGTCTAAAGCAAGGCCGCGGAGAGGCAGCTACCTCGCCGAGCCCCTGCAGAATGCGACGACGATGGCGGCTGGAGACAGGGAGAGGTATGTGCGGCTATGCGCCACAAACAAGGAGGTGGAGGCCCGCAACACCAAGTATTTCGCTGCCTTGGAGCCGCGTGGGGTGGTTGGTTGCCCCAGGCCAACAGATGCAAGTGACTCGTCTCACGCACCCTGGGCACAGGAGCGTTATACTAGCAACACGAATGACGATGGGGAGGATGGGACGTATGAAGTGGAGAAGGAGGAAGATGATATGCGTCCCCTGCAGGTTTACCGCGCAAACGACATTTATGAAGAGGACGATGCCGCCGCCTCCGGCCTGCCGTCGTGGGTGAGGTTTGAAGACAGCACCCTACCCACGGAGCTCGAGCTGAAGGTGGGCACCCGTGTGATGCTGCTGCAGAACATTTCGCTTCGCTTGGGTCTGGTGAATGGCTCAGTTGGGGAGGTCGTCGGCTTCCTGCACCCGCTTGAGCTTGTCGAGCTCGTCCTGCGGGCACCGCGTGAGCGACACCACAGCTCTGCCCGTGGGCAGGAGCTGCTAAGTCGTGGCGGGTTCCCCACCACCAACGATGCCTTCCGTTGCGTGGATACGTCACTGGGGCAGTCGCTTTTCTGGTCGCTACGTCAGCGCGGTCTGCGGCAGCCGACGGAGGTGAGTTACGGTAGCGTCTACGGCAATGCCCACTACCGGGACGTGCAGAAGCTCGTCGGCATCTCCACTCAGGCCTCCGTGCACCCGCTGGAGCTGTACCTTGGCGGGATCCCGCCGCCGCAGCTGCGCCGCAGCCGACTGCCGGTGGTGAAGCTTGACCTGCAGCCGCAGCACCTCTCCCTTCGCTCGGACGCAGCAGCGAAGGTAAGCGATGACGCGGGTCGTGGTGCGCGTCTTCCGCGGCACGTCTACGCGTTTGTGTCGCCCTACTCGCATCGTTGGTACATGGGCGATCAGGTGGTCGCGACGCGCACGCAAATTCCGCTGCGGCAAGCCTGGGCCATGACGGTGCACAAGGCGCAGGGACTGACCATCTCGCACGTGGAGGTTGCGATGCACCGTTTTTTTTCACCTGGACAGGCGTACGTCGCATTGAGCCGTGGCACGCAGCTGGATAACATTCGCCTGTTGAACTTCAAGGAAAACAGCATCCGTGCGTGCCCTGTTGCAAAGAGCTTCTACGCCACTCTGGTGAACGCGGAGCAGGGCGTAGACGAGGCGTCGGACGAGACTGGCATCTCCGTGAACTGACGGAAAGAGAAGGCGAGAGTGAGTGGCAGCGAGACAGAGCTGTGTTTATACTTCCTGCCACGTACGCTGGCGGTGATTGCACCATCTGTAATGAAAAAAAAAAAAACATTGGGACGAAAAAGAAAACAGATGTGTGTGTGTGTGTGTGTGTGTTGGCTGCCAAGGTAGCAGGCAGGCCGCCCACTGAGAGTGTGTGTGCTGAGTAAAGGAAGTGGGAGTAAGAAGCATAGAAGCGGCAATGCGTGTATACATAAATAGAGAGAGGGAGGAGGGGGGCACAACATACATAGATCCACACAGAAAGAGGAGCGAGAGAAGTTAACGGAGAGCAACGTTTTTGTGTAGATGTGCATTGTGCAAAATCATCACTTGTCGTTTGCTTTAGTCCTTTGCAGATGCATGTTTACTGGTGTACGTGTGCGGACCCGGTGCGTTGTGTGACGCCTTCTGCTTCGCACCTTCTTGTTTTTTTTTTTCCACCCCTGTTACGGCGGTGAAAGTATTCAGATATTTACATAGAGGGTACATAAGGAGCGGTCGGCGTCCCGCAGTCTTGTGTTCATACGCCCTGCAGGAAGAGACTGCAGTGACGAAGGGAAGTGATAAGGGGAGAAAAGGTATTTCCCATTATGTAGAAAAGGGGATACAAACTGCACCGGTGAGCAACGGGAGGCAAAACTATAAAAGAGTGGGAAAAGGCGACACTGATGCCCTTCACTCCGTGGACCTAATTTGCAGAGATAGAGATAGAGATACAGAGAGAGAGAGAGAGAGCAAAGTTGGGGTGTATCGCATCGCTGTGTGACTGTCACCTTCTCGTCTTTTGCTTCTCCTTGCATTGCACCCTGCAAGTAGTGAAGGTCTGTTCAAGGGACAGGAAATTAGAAGGGACTCCGCCTTGCTGCTGCTCTTGGTGGTGGTGGTGGTCCGTTCTTTTGCTTGGTGTGTGTGTGTGTTTGTGGAGGTAAGCAAGGACAGGCAACAGGCAACAGACACTAGAAGAGAGTGGGGCGGCGAGGATGCACCATAGCAACCAGGAACTTTGCGAACCCACTATTGTGGGCGACTTCAAGGTTTATAATGTGAGCGGTTCTCGCTTTGAGGTGCCGAAGAAGTACACTTTGCTGAAGATACTCGGAACGGGGGCCTACGGTATTGCCTGCTGCTGCTTTAACGAGGAGACGAAGGAGAAGGTGTCTATCAAGAAGTGTCGTGACGTGTTCAGAGACTTGGAAGATGGCAAGCGTGTTCTGCGTGAAATAGCGATGATGCGCTTCTTTCAACATGAGAATCTGCTGCATGTCATGGACATCCTGCCACCCATGGAAAAATACAGCGATTTTCGCGATGTGTACATTGTCACCCCGCTAAAGGACGTGGACATGAACGTCGTGCTGCGTTCCCGGCAGGAGCTGACTGACGCTCATGTGCAGTACTTTGTGTATCAGATCCTGCGTGGGTTGAAGCACCTGCATAGCGCCGGCGTCGCCCACCGCGACCTCAAACCGGCCAACCTTGTCACAGACATTTCCTGTGAACTGAAGATTATTGACTTTGGACTTTCACGGAATGTCACGATGCCGTACTATGAGCTGACCGACTACGTCATTACACGATGGTACCGTCCGCCGGAGCTGCTGCTGGAAAACAACTACTACACAACGGCGGTGGATATCTGGTCCGTTGGGTGCATCATGGCGGAGATGTACACCCGCAAGCCCGTGCTTCGTGGACGCAACACGATGGACCAGCTCCGTCTGATTTGCACGCACATTGGCAAGCCTCCGAGTGAGATGGTCAACAACCCTGAGGCGCTGGATAAACTCCAGGGCCTCCCCGACGGCTCACTTAAGGTGTCGGAGTTGGTGCCGGGGTTGACTGACCCGGACGCCATTGATATTCTCAAACAGATGTGGGAGATTGATCCAGCCAAGCGCAAGTCGGCGGCAGAGCTGCTGCAACACCCCTTTCTGGCACCTCTACACGACGAACAGGACGAGCCGGCTTGCCCAACGCTCTTCTCCTGGCCCTACGAGCAGCAGGAGATGAGTCCTAGTACCCTTCGTCGAGCCTTCTGGGAAGAGATTTGTGCCTTTAACCCGCAATTGGCCGAGCAAATGCCTGCGGACTCTAAAGAGAAGGGCCAGGTGAAGAGTTAAACTCACCCAAGTGTGTGTATATACATATATACAAATACACGTGTGTGGAGCTCGCTCACTCGCCCTTCTCCCCCCCACCCCGCCCACCCCCACCCCTCTTTCTTTATTTCTCTCCGCTTACTCTCCGCATATGTGTGTGTCACAACTGTTTTTTTTTCCACATTTTTGTGGATTTTTTGTAGTTTCTTCTTTTTTATTATTTGTTATTTGGACCGCCGTGCACTTTTGTGCGTCTGTCGGTGTGCATCTTCGCGGGATTACGCCGGGTCCGCCTGGATGAAGGTCGGCGGGACGCGGCCACTCGCACGCACGGACGCACGCAGAGGCATCCCCCGGCAAAGGTCTCGTTCCGCTCCCGCTAGTTGTGGCTGCTGGCTTCGTCGTTGTTTACCCGCCACGGGGGGCAGCAAACAATTTATGCCTCCAGCCACTCGTGTGTGGGTACTGCGGTGAAGGGCTGGGACGGCCTCTGCTCGCGTGTTTCCCCGTGGGTGGTGGGTGGCTGTGAGTAGAGGATGGAGAGAGAAGAAGGGGGAGGTACACACACACACACATGCGTGCATGCATGTCGTTCTGCATCTGTGCGGGGAGGGGGAAGAAACCGTTAACTGCTTTTGGGTACAAATGCCGGGAGCGGGAAATGGGTACTCGAGGAAAGTGGGGTGGTGAAGAGGAATAAGCAAGCAGGTGGGGGGAATGACTGGGAGTAGAACGTGCCGCGCAGCAGGTGCGTGGTTGTGGTGGATACGGGAGAATTGATTGATAGGGGAAGACAAGAAGGAAAGAACGAAGGACTGTGCATGTGTGTGGGTGAGAGAGAGAGAGAGAGAGAGAGGAGGGGGAA